AAGGGTGCGGAGCGGTGTTATGACCCTCATTAAAGGAACTACTCATAGAGGTATCGGACAGTAAAACATGCTAACGGTTCCTTAGGACAATGAATACCTAATGTTGAGGCACGTACATAGCACAAGTCTGGTTAGCCCGAGGACCCGCCATAAAACCTGGGTTTTTCGGCAATTAAGATTTGTGCAAACGGACAGGCAGCTTTTGTCTCAAATCGACCGATCGACAGCGACGTCGATCCCAGGATCTTGTACTTAGACACCCTACCATAGCTGGCCTTGATAGCGTCATTGGGACGAGAATTCATTCTTTCTCGAGATCTCATCGGCGAAGGGAGTAGTACACGTTTGAGTTAGAACAAGTATACCTACCCTCCCGTTGACCGTGGATTCGTTATCGAACCCAAGACCATTATCACTAATGTCGCGAGTAGCTGATCGCCGCTGTTGATTGTCGAATCGGTAGTCTTCATACTCGTTGTATCAGGCCGTATCTTCGTTATAACACAACGCTGGTCAACTCCAAGGGAGGTCTATCAAACGCCCACAATCCTGTTCCTCACTCTTCTCCGACACATATAAAGGCCCAAAGACATATAAAGACAAACTGAGATCTTTGAGTCATAGCTTAAACAATCTTTCCTTTTTCTTATTTGTGATAGTTAAGAAATGCAAGCGACTAAATTTATGATACAACATTTTATGTTTAGTTCGCAATTCAGCTAATTTACTTAGCAGGCCGGCCTACAGTTTACAGGCGTCACTTAGTGAAAATTCGTTTGTTAGGGATCGGTCATTATTCATTTCCTTGCTAGCAAAATATTATAAAGCCTAATTGGCTTAGCCTACGGGCCTAACGGTTTTCGTTTTCTTGTAATCCCAGATTTTGAGCTGGCAAAATCACTCCGTTATTAAGCCGCCGTTTACTAGCGACCAGTTTCTTTATCCCAGTAAGTAATTAGTTTTATTAGTCGGCACAAAACGGTACAAACGCCAACCAACCTCGAAAAATCACAACATTCGATCAACCACAGGGAATAAACAGTGATGAATGAAACTTTTACCACCATATTTGTTACATTTTTCTAATTAAAATAAAACCAAACACCATATAATTTGGAGCACATTTGCTTACTTAATAAATAAAAATTGAATACATTTTCTCAACGCGAGAATTGATTGTAATTTTAACAAATAAAAAAAAAAAAAAAATACATATCAAGGAAATGTAATTCAAAGTATATCGTATTTGGTTTTCTTTTATTCAGGAAGATCTCACACACACGTTAATAAAAGTTTAATTTAGAAAAAGTAAAAAATAAAGAAGTTTTATTTTTGAATTTATATTTACATATTTTGTCTCAAGGATGTCTGACATTGGATAATGTTAAATAGTTACGAGGATATACGCAAAGACTTAAAACTACCAACGGTCAAAGAAAAAATCGGCACGTACGCAAAAAAATACAAGGAAAGGACGGCAACACACCCAAACCAGCTGGCTGCTGAAGCGAGCAAAACTCTCATAGAAAGAAGACTAAAAAGAAAAAACCCCGCTGACCTTACTAAAGAAATAAAATAGTCAAACTGGAAGATGGTATCCCGCTGGGGGTAGCCATCCACATGTTATTTAACAATTAAGCTAGAAAAATTTACCGAATGTCCAGCTGGACAAATTGTAAAATACAAACTAAATAAAAAAAAAAAAAAAATGATATAACTAAATAAAAAAAAAAAAAAAATAAAATACAAACTAAATAAAAAAAAAAAAAAAAATGATATAATGTTTGAGCGCGGTGGGCCACCGAGTTTTACGGTGCGCCGAGGAGAATCTCAACCCCCCGTAATAGAGATGACGACCATACAAATATCAAGAGATTCTTTTTCTGCAGATGCATCAGAAATATTATTCAGATTCTATCAAGTATTGAAATTACTATTAAAACGAAATTTAGGTTTTGTTATAACACAAATATTATCGCGAGAAAAGTAAATTTAATATTAAATCTAAAAAATTGTGTATAAAGAATATATTAAAATTATTGCATCATACCACTAATTGATAATTCATTTAAAACGAAAGATTTTCTTTTCTTCTCTAAAAAATATTGTAATAAACAATTAATTTCTCTTTCTCAGGCAACTAAGCTTAATTATTGCTTGATTTTTGTTATTCTCATACTTGTCTATCTCAGATAGAAAAATTTGAATTTTTCCGTAAAACCGTACAATAAAATGCTGTAGTAACGTAAAGCCACAGTGAGTATACCTCATTTGGAATACCTCAAATGGAACTAACTGGGTTCTTGTATATGCTAACGTGGAACATCTTTAGCACTTTGCCGCTAAGGGTAGCACTAGTCCGGAAACAACTAGAATCATTTGACCATAGATTCGTTTCTACTAAGGAAATTATAATAGTATCCATATGCAGTAATATTAATTATTAATTAAATATTAACTAACACTATTCCTACTACATAATGATCTCGATATTTTATGACAGTTATTTGTTTCATTTATTATTTGGGGGTCCCTAGAACTCTATCTCCCTAGAAAAATGATACCTAATATGACTCAGAGAGGTACTATATTTTGCTATGGCTAAAATGTATGGTTTTAGTGTATTTTCTTTTTCTATGATTATACATTTTAATATGTTTATTTAGCATTAATCATTATATAAAACTCTTGTACTTTAGGATCTTCTCATTTCAATAATATGAAACTTTTAAAAATCCTATCCTTCGGTGTAAACAATATGTACTGTACTGAAAAAAATAAACAAAGAAACTTTTAAAAATAGAAAGTATGAGTGAAAAATTTTTAACATTTTTATATATAAAAATTTATTTTATTTCTATTTAGTTATACTATTTTTATACATGAAATCATTAGAAATTCGTTCAAGTGCTGATCAAATTTCAATAATTACTTTTGTATATATCGTCTTTTTATTTAAGAAAATAGGAAAAATTGACATCGAATCTATTGAACTTTTGCAGAGTTTCTTCTCTGTATAATGATAATATTTGATGATATATACTTGCATATCAGGATAGGACAGAACATTAAAACAGTAAAATCCTACCTCATTACTCTATCGAATCTATGTATGATTTCTACGAGACTATTGTCCATAGTAGGGATTAGGGATTGGAAAGTTTTTCATCTATACAATGAAATTACATTTATCTGAATAAAATTTTAGTTAATGTCCAATTAAATATATTGCTGTTGATCGAATTCACTTATTTGAACGAGAAATTCTATTATATAAATGAGAAAACATTAGCAATAGAAGGAGTTAGTAAATTTTTATTACACATTCATCTATGTAATCAAATAAATCGAATGTTTCTAGTATAGGCAAGTACTATAACCGAAACCTTTAAGCTGAAAGTTTTGATTTACGATTATGAAAATATATGATAAATACTTCTTTAATATTAAGTGATTACGCACATAAAATAGATGTAAAGTTTGATCTACATATACAGTTATAATCAAGGAAAGCTTTTACATAACTTCTTACAAATTATGTATTACTTTTTATGGTAGACTTAATTTAATATTTTTTGTGAACTATTTAGCGTAAGACGTGAAATACATACACTAATTTATGCAATATCCTATGTGCTTGAAATTATATGTGAACAATGTATAGTAAATAATTTTAGATTTGAGCTTAATAATATAAAAAAAGTTTATGTATTATTATAGATATTAATTTGTATCCAAAAAATTATAAAATAGTGAAATACTTAAATTTTGTACAACTTTTATTTATATTCAGTAATTATAATGAAATAAAAACAATATTGATTAACAGAATTCAATAGAAGTTAAACTATTATTAATTTATTCAATATTATTTTACAAACAGGAAGGTAGAACTGTAAATTCCTGCTACTGTGTAAACAGCATTACTAAAGTGGCAGTTACAATGTGATGCCTCTAATGTATTATAAGTTTCCTGGAAAATTTCCATTCTCAATTTGATCATTCCAATTTGTTATCCAACTATTTGGGCACATTGCAGAGTATACTTTTTTGAAATATTTACATGCATCATAATCCTCACCATGTCGTTTTTTGCAACGTTGAAAGTCCACAAAACTAGTGTAACAATATCTGTATTCAAAATAAACAGGAATAAGCAATCTTATACATTAACAGTTTATAAGAATTAAAATACATCAATTTATGTTTTGTTTACCTTGTCTGGTTTTGATTTGGGAATCTTGGGTCATATGGTGCTGTGTTTGGTTTCAAATCGATGGGGGTTTCTAATGTTGCCGCATTTCCAAGTTCTGTATATTTAACCATATTGATGCTGCTTAACAAGTTACAATGTATTATATTTATTAAAAGTGCTACAATCTGTCACCCTCCCTTTCTCCCACAAGGCAAACTCTTTACATGTTTGTCTCTCGCTTTAGTCAGTTTGTCTCTTGCATCACATAGTACACTATCACAAACATTAATTGCTTTCTCACTGCAGTCCTTGTTTTTACTCTCATATTACATTAATAATGTTCTTTAACTCGAAATATTTAAGAATTTTGGATACTATATATTTATAATTTTTGAATAACATATACTGTACATTCTATCTAGTAATTGAGAAAAGAAAAAGCTTCCCCATATTTGCATACATTTCTATAGAAGTTTTTCTTGGTAAATAATAAAAAGCTTTAATTCAAAGCTTTCATAAATTTTAAATAATTTTAGTATACATGGAGCTCTTTTTTAAAGTTGGTTAATAGCTATTCTTGTATATTTAAATACAACCATGTTGTAATTAAGAGAACACAGCATCTTTTGAAAGCACATTCATTGTAGATAAAACAAAGTAACAAAATGGAAAATGGTTGAAAATAAAATCAGCTATTTAACCAATGGTCTTGTGTTATCTTCTTCCTGACAGCAAACTTCTCTGTATTTTTTCACTTCAGCCATATAGAGTGACCAAGCATCCTTAGGTTGTTCAACAGTTTGTTCAGTCTTTGGTTTGGCAACCATTCCAGTTTTTAAAATTCTACCTCCTCGCCTCTTTCCTACCATCAAAGGTGGAGGAACAACAGTTTTTTCTTCCAAAACAGAAGTCGCCGGTTTTTGTGCAGGTTGCATTTGTTCCTGCATTTTTTTAAACATTTCCATAAAACTACCATCATTCTTAAAAGCATTAGATTGTGGAGGAACAACTGGATGAGATACAGTTGTTTCTGTATTATCTTCAGCTGTATCTGACTCGTACGATGGTGCTCTATGGTATCTGCGGCTTTCTCTACCTCTATGTCTATCTTTACTCCTATTACGACTGCGACTACGTCTCCTATCTCTGGAACGCGATCTTCCTCTTGACCTAGACCTTGATCTATCTCTCCTGGAATATTTGCGCGATCGATCTCTATCTCTGTCTCGATCTTTATCTCTATCGGGGGATCGAGATCGTTTGTACGATCTAGTTGGAGAAGATTTTGAAGTACTGCGTCTTCTTCTACGTCTGTCTTGTGGCGAGTCATTTCGGGAAGATCTACTGCTTCTATACTCCAAGGGTGAAGGTGAACGGCGCGACGACATTCTGTTTTTGTACCCATCATATGTTGTATAACTTGCACTATACATAGGAGGCGAAGGTGGAGCTGGTGGTGAATCTGTATTGGACTTGGAACTGCGTTCATGCCGTTTTGAATCCATTGTTGCCTCTCTCACCACGCTGAATGGACAGATGGACACCTATAAGGATAGAAACTGCCTTCTATGAGTACACTGCTCATTTCGTCTTACCAAGCCTTTATCTGATTGGTTTTAAATGTACGCGTATGCAAGAGACAAGTAGACTTATAGCGAGAGATCAAAATGTATTTAAATTGCCATTAATATAAACAAAATTCAATCAAAGCTAGGATTTTGTCTTCAGTAATTTCTATATATATGAATTTCATCCATTTATTTTTTTTACGATGCAATATATGTTATAGAAATTCAGCTTTGATTGTATCCTTATCTATATCTCTATATTTCATTATAAGTAATTATTTCAATTGATTAAAATTAGTTTAATTTTATGTGGTTATATAATTCTACAATTCTTATACTTTGTTATATTATAATACAAATGATTATAATACTTTTAAAAATAGTATAATTTACATTATACATGATCATCAATCTAAATAGTACGATATTATAGAGTATACAACACTTATACTCATTTTTAGGTAAACGTATGAGATAACGTATGAGATAACGTCTGATGTCTTAAAAATTAATGTTCAGTGTACTTCCGATGCTAATCAGAGTTTCCAAAAATTTAATAACGTTAAATTATGCTCGAATATGTATAAATTTAAATATAAATTTTTCTTCTGATACTCTGGAAAAAGAAATGGTCAAAATGGAAAACAGCTTTATTCTATATGTAATACGACATCATTATTTAATAAAGATTACCAAGATCAGCAATAACAAAAATATAAAAGGGGATAAAGAGAGAAAGAGATAAAAGAACGTGAAATTTGATAGAAAAAACTTATCCAAAACTAAATAGAATTTTCAATTAGCATATAAAATAGTTGTCGTAGAGAATATAAGTAAAATTCCTTTAAAACTTTCTTAAATATTTCGTTGACTACTTTAATCGCCTAAATAGCCTACAATTACACGAAATATCTTTATATAAAATACCTTAATCAGCCGTGCAATTGAAAACAAAATGGCCACTAGGCAAACTGCGCCAATCTGTTACGTCATGTACACCTAGGACAGTTAAAGCGTTAAAACTGATTCTGAGATGAGCTATGTGTTCTAGAGCGAAGAATATATTTCTAAGTTTCTCCGATAGAGTTCGCTCAAAATTTGCCTATCGAATTTCTTACCAAGAAATCTTTCTATTATCAACAAAAAATATAGTCGATCTGTTTGATGATATGACTCATTTTCTTTTTTATAACCTATAAAATACAAATTGACATTAAAAATGTAATTCATATATTTATATGCATATATAATATATAATAGTATAAATAATTCAAATAAATATTTTACAAACACTTATAACAAATATATACGTATATAAAATTATTCGTGAATTTTTTAAATTATTATAGTTTATCTATTTTCTATTAAATAAGTTATGTCGGGAATATGATCATATAATTCAGTCCTCAACACTCGCTAGGGACAAGCGTCTGAAAATTGAGTCGTGTCTGGTTGTGAAAAATTAACATGGAAAGTCAACAAGGACCTCGTTCCTACGAGACAGACTGAGATGAGTAAAATATATTTCTCTCTGTCTGAGACATTTGTAACATGTTAGGCATGTGCAGAACGAGGATCTTCTTGTCTTCCATGTTGATTTCTCGTAACTAGTTAGGACTCAATTTTCGGACGATATTCTACATATAATTATCAAATAAAATATATAAAACCTATCAGTAAAAAGTCAATCAAGAATCTATAGGGACATTTTAAAAATAGTTGTACGGTTATGGTTACTCGAAAACTCAATTGCAAAAATAATGCATTCGACACTTCCGTGAAGGTGGCGCTTGGTTCGTTTATTCACATCCGGTCTTCCATTCTCTTTGGTCATCGTCGCATATGATTGCGTTCTTGTTCCCTAACGTTCTTTATCGATCTTGCGTTTTCAGTAAATTGTTAAACGTTTAAATCGTATGCGAGCATTCGTTAGTCTGTACGTTATACACAATATCCTCATAGAGTTTTCAATTCGACCACCGTATTTTAGATTATCGAGTGCTAATGCGTGGTATTTCAGAAAGCTCACCGACTCGCGCAATGGCGGAGGATTTGGATGTCGAGGCAATGCTGGAGGCGCCATATAAGAAGGGGGTAAGGCTTAATTTTTTTTTCTCTACTTCTTTGTTTGTCTCGGTTTGCTCCTTCGAGATCCTGACTTTTTTTGTCCTATAAAGTCTACCTAATCTCGACGCGCAAGAATACAAATACGGCGCCGTACCGTTCCGGGTATGTTCTGTCGTGTTGCGATCGAGAAAAATATGAATCGTCCTTTCCTTCCCATATATACATGTAGAACAAAGTACGCCCTTGTCTCATACCGACTATTGATCAATACCTCCGTTTTCTGTACTTATAGATGGTACGTAACATGTACCCTCGCGCTCGTAGGATGTTCGGCAGCGAGTTCCTAGAATGCACTTGAAATACGAGGTATTAAGAAAAGCCATCACTAACATCATTTTTACTTAATTCTTTTTTCTTTATCTATTTCTGATCTTTTTTTCTAATTTTTTTCTCAGAAATCGTAACGTTTATTATTTTACGACGTAGATAGAATTGTTACTGCCACCATTTTACGGTTATAGAGAGACAAAGGAAAATACACATGCAAAGTATAAAGGTTGTTTATATTAATTTATTTAAAACAAAACAGAAAAAGAAATGTAGAAATGAAAGATGGATTTGTTAGGTGCTGTTCTGCCATGTGCCATGCTATTCTATTTATCTTTATAACATTTATATGTGGTAAAATGAATCAACTTATTTGTCCAAGCATCGAATAGCTTTTATATGTAGAATCAATAAAACTGTTGTCTGTAGTATTTTTTGCAGTAGAAGGGCATAATATTTATTGATTTTTACTATGTACCTTCGGCATTGTTAGGAGGAACAACAAAGGTATTTGTCGGATTTTAAAATTTCAAGCAGTTTCACATTGGCTGTGTTTTCTTTTAATTCATAGGAGTTTTATTTATACATCTTATTTATAATCATATATTGATTCCCTTTTTTAGGGAATCATATGTTGTTATAATTGTTTAAGATCTCTAAAATTAAAGGGAACAGTGGTATTAATGAAGAATTGTATTTTAACTGTTATGAATATTTGTGATATTAAATTATAATGTATATGTGTATAGTACAAGAGATACAAAATAGTTCTTATTGAAAGTTCTACATGTTTTATAGACAGGGCAGATGTAATAATCAGATTTAACCTATTTAGCAATTTGAGATTGCTAAATATTTAAATATGTTTTTTCAATGTGTTATGTATGTTATTCAAAACTCCAAAAAATGTATATTATTAAAGTCTACTTCTTTCATCATATGGTAGACCTTTGTTTTTAACTATATGACTACAATTACTAATGGTAGTCCACTAAGATGCTTATGGTGTTTTCATCTTTTGCAATATTTAAGATTTTCCATCAACATAACATTATTTGTCTCATTTAAAATTTGAATGTACATTGATATAGTACTTCACAAACAAAATGCATGGTAAATTGGCAAGCAGGAAATAAGTTATATGGTTCAAATGAGAAAATGTTTTAAAATTGTACAATCAATATTACTGAAGAATTGGTAATTGACTAGAGGATTAGTTTTATATTCATGGTAGATAAAAAGATATAACATCCGTAACATATACATGTAACACCATTATCATCATTTCATTGTATTAGTGCCATATACCATGTGTATGTTCGCTTTTAATCATGTGAAACATTTTCTCTGTACAGCTAAATCATCTTGTGGTATATCTACTGGAAGCTGCAAATGATCGTTGATCGTTTTGTTCCTAATTATGAGATAGTTAAATCAATTATACATGCAGGGGTTGTAGGTTAGCAATTAGGGTTCACATTTCGTGTTACATTAAAAACGTACTGTCTTTGATGAGGGCTCTCTTTTGCAGAAGAAAAAGGATGTGTGGTTGGCCATTGGTAGTTTAAGACCAAGGCATGCTCAACCCAAGATTGCAATGCTTTCCTAAAACCCGATAAAACGATTGGTAAGTTTGAGCCAGGTGTGTGCGAGGCGTCGCAACACTATGCTCGCCCCGTTTCTCTCTGTCTCTCTCTCTCTTTCTTCTCTGTGTCCTCATCTTAGCCCCCTCAGACCAATATAATCTACCTGGAAAAAGAGAAAGAGCACGAGAGTGCATCACCATCCAGCAGCAATAGATCTTCGATAACAGTGTTCAAAGGAGAGTTATCTACATGGTTACAAAAAATTTTTTTTTAACAGAAGACAGAACTTCATTATTGAGACATATTTTATTTTGAAACTATTGTCAAAATTTAAATTGTACAATATGTACATAGTTTATCTTTATAAAATTTACTAACGTTCTATGATTTGCTTTTTGTCCCCTTGTTCGCGCGTCCCTGCCACATCGGCTGGCTGGCATGGCATTCAACTGTTTGCTGTTCGTAGGAGCAGGACTCCTCATCCAAAGACAAATCCTCCAAGGAGAATGGGTCTAGCCGTAAATCATCTGGGTAAGCATATTTCACTTATTATAATTAATTTGTAAACACAATTTGTGCTTACTATTAGAATTAATATTTGAACCATTAAATCTATTAAAATATATACGTAAATGTTTTATTTCTACAAGTAACGGTAATGACTACGTGCCAGTAACGTACGCTACTGAATGGCGGTAAACGAAAGTGATAATTACTATCACTGATTTTTGTTGCAAACCCTGAATGTTTTGTTATCTTTTCATATCTTCCAATGTAATTTGATCGTTCTATCCGTCGTTTGGATCTCATAAAAAATTGTAGTTTATCTTGGTTAACCGATAATAATAAGTCTTGCTTCCTGATTACTTCTCCAGAAATTACTATAATTTCAGTAAAAATGGTAAGGAGCGCAAAATAAATAAATTTAATTATTTCGTTTTTGTTATATTATTACATACATTTTTTAAAATAGTACTATTATAATAGTTATTTTTATTAATTGAACAAATTTAAGTAAAAATTACATCTGATGAAAAACCATGAATGAAGAAGTAAATGGATTGAATTTTTTGAAATCCTTGTTTTAGGAGAAAAATATCTGTTGTTAAAAATTTATCGAAGTATTAGATTTTTTAAATTAGCATTAAAATTGAATTTTAATGCATGATTTATGATATGATAAAACACATGTGTCTGTAAATAAACTACTTTATCTGAACCTTTAGCCTTATAGATTGAAATACATATTCGATTGTATGTGAATATTTCAAATTAGTCATTTGGTACATACATATAACTGTTTGAAGTTATATTCTCTTTGTTATAGACCCCATACAATTAGTGTAAATGCTGGTTATTTTCATAATTCCAAAGGTTAGACCTGAAGATGGTAAGTATTTAGGAAGAATATCTGTGCTACAGATTATGTTAAAAATCTGAAATGTAATAAAAAAAGGATCATTAAACAAAATAGAATATGATGATTAAAACATGCAATAACACTTGTACAGATGTTATATTTTATAATATATTGATTGGGTTATTTTTATCACATGTGTTTAATTATACAATTTAATGAAAAATTATTAACCCTTTGCGGACGGGACGGTTCGAAGTCAACCGTACCGTGGGGCCGAGCTGCTGCCGTGATAGTCATTTAAAATCCCTAGCGCACATTTTTGCTTAGACGCGATTTTCGTTCGTAGCACTCCAAGATGTCAAATTCTAGACATATGTACATGAACAGATTCTCCACAGGATAAATAAAATGACCTACATATGAGTCTTTTATATATACGCATATATGAGATATATGAGTTTCTCGACCATAACGACGCGTTTACGTGGGATACATATATGAGTCTTTCGGTTCTATCAGTTGTTTGGCCAAATACATATATTAGTTCCTTGGCTAAATTGATGGTTTACGCAGAACGCATATATGCGGCGGCAGTCCGCAAAGGGTTAATATTAGGATTATTTACTTATTTGATTATTTATATCAGTTAAGTCGTACTGTGGAAATAAAAGCTAATTTTAGAAACTTTTTTACCACTAAGGGTTCGGATTAATAAGTGGACATATTATAATTTAAAAAATTACATTATACAAATTAAACTTAAAATTATCAAGTTCCGTTTATTATTTACTCAGATTTACTATATCATGTACATACATCATGGAATACAAATTAGTTCTATAGGTTTTATTAAAAAAACTTCTTAGTACACTTTATTGGTTTCGTTTTTTTACAGGAAGAGCAAGCATCGTTCTCGTTCCCGCTCTCGATCACGGGACCGTCGGGAGAAAGATCGTCGCGACCGCGACCGAGATCGAGACAGAGATCGAGATCGTGACAGAGATAGAGAGCGCGATCGTGATCGTGATCGTGACCGTCGACGTAGATCAAGATCAAGAGATCGGAGAGACCGCGATAGAGACAGGGATAACAACGATAGAGATAGGGATCGACGGGATAGAGACCGAGATCGAGACAGAAGAAGGAAGCGATCCCTCACACCAATTACACTTCCCAGAGCAAGACTACCATTTGGAAAGGGTGTCAGTCCTCTTGGCATGTAAGTTTGCATGAATTCATTATTTGGTAGAAAATGCAAAATAGCCAAATAGCCTAAGAATATAAGAATAACATATTTCAAAATTTAAAACTTTTCCACAAGATATTTTAAAGCATGGAACTTAGGGTTGCATCACTTTTGCGTCTATAATTTTTTGTGATAAATTTTAGAATGTCAATGTTTTTAATTTTTTGTATCTTATATTCATTTCAGCAGAAATGATGAGCTAACACCAGAGGAACGGGACGCCAGAACGGTGTTCTGTATGCAATTAAGTCAGCGTATACGTGCTCGAGATTTGGAAGAATTCTTTTCGAGTGTGGGCAAAGTTCAAGATGTCCGACTTATCACATGCAACAAAACAAGAAGATTTAAGGGTATAGCATATGTAGAGTTCAAGGATCCTGAAAGTGTGACATTGGTGAGTTAATATATAATTTATATTTGATATTATGTTTATTCTTATAATTATTTCATTATTTTCGCAGGCACTTGGTTTGTCGGGTCAGAAGCTTCTCGGTGTTCCCATAGTAGTACAGCACACTCAAGCTGAAAAGAATCGCATGGGTAATTCCATGCCAAATCTAATGCCAAAAGGTCAGACCGGACCTATGAGGTTATATGTTGGATCTCTACATTTTAATATTACAGAAGATATGCTTCGCGGTATTTTCGAACCATTTGGAAAAATTGATAACATTCAACTGATCATGGATCCGGAAACCGGTCGAAGCAAAGGCTATGGATTCTTGACTGTATATATCAAATATATATTAAAATATATTATAGATTATTCAATCATAATATTAGTATTTTCTTTAAAATATATTTATTTTTATTGCAGTTTAGAAATGCTGATGATGCAAAAAAAGCTTTGGAACAGTTGAATGGCTTTGAACTTGCTGGAAGACCTATGAAAGTGGGTAATGTTACAGAACGTACAGACTTAATACAGGGTCCATCTCTTCTTGACACAGACGAATTAGATCGAAGTGGTATAGATCTTGGTGCTACTGGAAGGTACAATATTCTTATATTGATCACTTTTTGTATTTTAATAAGTTACTAATTAATATTAAAAATATTTAGGTTACAGCTAATGTTCAAATTAGCGGAGGGAACTGGACTTGAAATTCCCCCTGCAGCTGCAAATGCACTAAATATGGCTCCAGTTATGTCAACACCACAACCACCACCACAAGCTGCTCCTCCTATAGCGACACAGTGCTTTATGTTATCTAATATGTTCGACCCACAAAAGTAAGTCCTCGTAATTTTCTTAACATGTAACAGGCATATCTGTAGACCTAGTATTAGATTACTTCTTTCACTGGGGGAATGTATATGCTAGATAAATTATGTTATCTTAAAATATCTCCCATGCATATCATTATATGTATGTTCAGAAACGATAACGTAACACTACATTAAACAACTACAAATTGTTTAATAATTATGCAAAGATTAAATTCAAACAGAATGATTTTTCGTTTCAGTGAGACAAATCCGAATTGGGCCAAAGAAATTCGTGATGATGTTATCGAGGAATGCAATAAACACGGTGGTGTATTACATGTGTACGTGGACCAAGCCTCACCTCAGGGTAACGTTTACGTTAAGTGCCCGTCAATAGCGACAGCAGTTGCGGCTGTCAATTCGTTACATGGTAGATGGTTTGCTGGTCGAGTAATTACAGCTGCCTACGTGCCAGTTGTAAATTATCACTCACTGTTCCCAGACGCGATGACGGCTTTACAATTACTAGTTCCGAGTGCTCCACGAAGGGGAATGTGATCTTAAGCAGTACGCAAACGCCAATTACAAATATGTAAATTTTAGTATTACATTTTTTCTTACTGGTAACCGAAAGGAAATTTTTGTTACTGTAACAGATCCGTTTAAGTGTCGTTTTAAGCCATACAGGTATTATTATCAATCACAAAACACACCTGCGTGACTCTTTCATACGTTCATAAAAATAACTACCTTTGTAAAGAGCTCTCATTCGATATTAGGGATTTTGACCAATTAGTACACGCTGAAAAATTGTTCTCAATAAATCTCTAGATGCTCTATTAGAGTATGAGATTGAAATTACCCTTTAAATAGTTCATTAATATCATATGTGTACAATGATTTATGAGTACTTACGTGTATTCACGTATCGAATTATATTTTAACAAATTCAGTGCAACAAGATATCGAAAAACTTCATTGCCTTCTTTGTTAAATATGTTAAGTAATAGATCCTTATTTAAGTACTCTTTTTTATTACCTGTAATAACTACACAATTGAACAACTTTCGACGCTTAACCTGTTAGAGTAAAATTAAATTTTAAGTAAATTTTGAAAAAAGTGGAAAGATTAATAGATTGTAATTTTAGTGCAAAGGCGTTGGAGGTGGTAATATATACATATATAAACATATATATATATATATACACACACACCTTTCTTTAAAATTTTCCGATCATTAAAAAGATCATTGAAACGTGCACAGCACATGTTCTTTATACAAAACCAAGTATATATTAACGGAACGAATAGAAAAGTTTTTTTAGGCAGAAGTCTGCAGGCAATGAATTTCTTTAACAGGTATATGTTACTAAAAGCAATAGTATAATAAGCATTATTTCTAATATTTTTGAAAACATAAAAAGATCATAAAATTAAAGATAGAGGTACTAATTTATACAATAGTTTTTCATATATCTATTTAATTATATATAATGACCTTTCGAATCATAGAGTAACTTAATAGTTAGCCGAATTTTTGACATTGTACTATCTAAAGAAATAAATCACAAACTAGTATTCTTCGTTGTGAATGAATAATTAATATTATGTCAAATCACTTTAAGTCAATGAGATGAGATGAAAGGTTCTATTTAGATATAGAATTTTAATATTGTGAAACTTATGGAGCATCAAAAAATTGTTTTTCAAAGCTTATGATAACTGTTATATGTAATTAGATAGACGATAAAAAAAACAAACTTTATTTACCCTGCAGGCCTCTGTTAGTTTAAAAAATCCATTATAATATAATCTATGTAAAAAATTTTGTAAATTATCACCGATCATTCATATATGTAGTGATACTACTGCTATTTCATATTACTAAAATGTGAATGTACACTTTGGTAATCAGAAATTAAAAAATTAATGTGATAGTACCATATGGATGTGAAATCCTCTTCTAGAATACAAATGTAAATGCGCAAACAATATTTCTTTAACTTTATTCGTTTATATATGAAATAATTTAAGTAGATTGTAGTATACATAAGGTTTTCATTTCTTATTTTAGATTAGAATACAAAGATTATTTTTTAACTATTCGCTGTATCGTAATTTCAATTACAAATACTATTTTGAAAAACACTGAAAAGTAATTTTATTGTGTACGTTTTATAAAAATTCTACAAAAAGTTGAAATTATTTAATAAATTAATAATAACTGAAAATTTACATATTTTTATATTTTGAATCACATATAATCAGATTGGATCTCTTGAGAGGAGATAGTAACAAAAATATTAAAAAATGATACACTGTTGAAATAAATTGAAGAATGTCAATCGAGTGCTATGTATATATTTTTATTTTGACCATTTTAAATCAACACACAATGATATATGATCACTTGGTGACACTATAGATGGAAGACCCGTATACGCACTAAGTTCTTCTTTACTCGGCAATGGTATAACTTGTTCAACTGTTAAATAATCCGTTTGATAAAATATATAATCCAAACAACCAGAAAAGGTAGCTGTGTAATTTGTGTATTCTGGAGTACCACATGCACTAGACAAGTTCATGTCATGTTTAATAGACACATTTTGTACATGTTCTTCAGCATCTATGATATAATAGAATATGACTGTTATAAATCAAAGTTTATAGAAATTATTATATAAAAACCATAAAACTAACCAGATTTCCAATCAGCATGATCTTCTGGTATGTAAGTTTGAGTTATTAATTGATAAACGCCACTTTCTGGGACACTGTTGAAGTCACCACAGTATAAAATACTAACGTTGCATTCGGGATTCTGTAAGTTTATAATGCGTCATTAATCACATTAAACATTTCAATTTTCATTCGGTTAAGTTTTTGCAAGTACCTCCTCTTTCACTTTTTTGGCAAATGTGCGTAAATATGATAAACCATAATATGCTTGTAACAAACGTATATGATCGGCTGTTGCACGGAAATACAAATGTGTATTGCCAACAATTAAAATTTCAGGATTTTCTTTTGATCGAAGTGTTATTGTCTATAATGCATTATATATATCATAAATAATTATTAATAAATCATATTTAATAATAGTATAATTATTCTAGTACCTGAATAATCGTATTTCTGTTTAAGAATGTTTGCTTTACACGGCTGTTCTGAATTTGCATCCAAACAGTATTAAATTCATCTAAATCTGTGTTTTGAGAAATAACCTTATAATCACAGGACAATTGATCAAACCTGTCCTTATTATAAAATATTGCGAGACCTTCCCGTAAATCGTTCTTTAAATTATATATACTACCATAGTTTAGTATACTTAAAGACATTTGCAAATCATTTTCATATACTGAATTATCTACTTCTTGAAGACATATTATGTCACTATTGTATCCTGTAGAAATTTAACAACACCATTTATATCTTTTTATTTTCAATTTAAAACATTGATATAATCCAGTTAAAAAAAATACCTATTAATTCTTTAAGAATTAGTAATTTTCTATAATCCATAGATAAGGCATAATATGGGCAGTATGGATATAAAGTTTCCTTAGAGACAGACGTTTCTGAATATACATTTGCTAATATATTGTACGAAGTTACTCTGAAACTAAAATTTCAGTTTAACAATTATGTTAAATGAATGTAACTAAATTGGAAATTATATTTCCACTTAAAACTTACCTTTTACCTGACAATTTATCTTTAGTAAAAGCATGTCTGGTATTAAAAAGACATAAGCCAGGTCCAATTTCTACAATATTATTTGATGCAATTTCTGTTAAAGGTCCAGATTCTACATTATTCTTTGGAATACATGATATTTTCAATCTGCATCCTAAATCAGAAGATCTTGGAATATATAAAAATCCTTCTCCTACATGTATCCACTTATTTTTTTCATTTTTATACCAGTTAAAAATTGATTTTGATTTATCTATATTTGTTCCTTCAAATTTAGAAGGATAAACTGGAAAATCAATTAAAATGCTCGATGGTAGTTCTAGTGTAGTAATGGAAGGTACATTTTGCCTTAATATATATTCCTTATCAAAAATGACTAATTTTATATCCGACGAATTGTTTAAGATTGTTTGACATGTGAGGTCACCATTCAGGTCAGAGTCATTTCTTAAAAATTTTATATTATCTTCAAAGTCACTTTTTAAGCTTTCTATGGTTGTTACACATTTGTTCTGCTTTTTCAGTTTTCGGTAAATTTTTTCCTTTAAGTATACAGTAATATTCCTATTTATTCTTTGAACAAAATTATTTATGGATTCGTCCACATGTCTTTGGAAATTGAATTGTCTATCGACGTTTAACTCGGGATTGATGTAACGAAACGACATCTTAAAGTTCTTGCTTCCCTCTTCGTGAAATAAAATAGCTTCATTCATGTTTAATTGTGTCACTAGACGTGAGCTATTTTTTAAAAATTGTTGCTGAATTGTTGAAGTAGGCAAAAAAGGGGTTAGGTATCTTAAATGCAAAATACGATTTAAAATTGACATTTTACATACATAATTTGTATTTACTTTTTTATATAGAAAATCTATGCTTTTTTGAGAAAAGCTTGTAATATAAATCTTAAAAACGACGAATATATGTTTGAGCAATAAAAGCTACTTGCCAAAATTATTTTCTTGCTGCCTGAAATGGTGTTCGAAACTATTAAAGTGCCATCTGTCGTCATGATATGAATGCAAGCTTATAAAATATATGTTATCAATGGTTGATTACATTAGTTATATATTACATCGGTAATGTTGGGAATGACATTAAAGTGGTAAGGGAAGTCTATAATGTGTAGCATAATTAATATGTAACTTATTATAAATAATTAGCCATGTCACTGCGCCACGCCAGAAAAAATTACTGAAAATTCTCAATGCGAGAATTGTAATTTTTAATAAATAAAAAAGAATAATTAATATGTACATATGTATAATATATAGCTCTTCTTTACCATAATCTGTAGTGCAGAATAAATCTTACATCACGGAGAAAGTATAGGTCCGTTTGTGTTACATACATGCATGCGTACAACCAACGATACAACGGCTATACCACATCTGTGATGCGTACCTTAGCCAAGATATAAAATATACGTGACATGCAATACTTTTTCGTATCCCATGTTTTTGGAGATCACCTATGAATTATGGACATAGAAATACGTTACATGTGGTGCTACCGATTCAATATAGTACCAGCTTGAATTAAAATTAAAGTTTTCTATGAAATTATTAATAAAATATAGAATAAATGTAGATAGAATAAGGAACAGATATTCTATAATCGCAAATGAAGTATAGAATTTTATACTTCTATATACTTCTGCTTCAGAAAATTGCAACGCAATCTATGAATAATTGAAACAAACAAATTACGCCCAATGAAAAGAGCAAAAGGATTAACAAAAATTTGCTTCTGAGGTATTAAAATACCTCTGCTAGTATTAAAATATAGTAGTATCAATATATAATTTAATATATAACATAAAATAATAATTAATATAATAGTATTAATATATATTTAGTACTAGTCTGAGTGGCATCCAAATTACCCGAGAATACTTAAAATTACGTAGAGTTATTGAATATATTAAAAGCTTAGTTTGACACTATAACTGTTTAGTTCTTAAGGGCTATGTGATTTTAATCACTTCTTCTTTCATCTTAGTATCCAAAGCAAAATTTCAATTTCTGATTAAATCCAACTTCAAATTGTTTTACTTTTACAACAATATTTTGATAATTTTCTCTTTTCGTGTAGAATGTGTTTTTTTCCTGTCATCAACTTTTTATGTACTAATTCATTAAACAAGTTTGTTACAGAATTCTTGGATTGTAAGAAATATCGTCAAGATTCATACATGTACGTCAGAAACTTAATTAAATAAAATGAATGGAAGGATGTAAATACGTATTACGAAATATTTATCTACATTTTGAGCCTCGTTTACTGGGATTATTTATATCAAGAATTTTATTATATTTTTTATATTTTGATTTTGTTTCAGAAATCATCATGATGTTGGGATTGAAAGCGGACGTCACTTCCGCATCGTTCGTGTACATGTGGAGGCTGTCGTCGCAGACAAGGTTGACTATTTCCTTCTTCAGTTTTCGATCTTGCATGTCCTTGTCAATCACGGATCAAGTTCGGATGT